ACTGATTCCTTCCTCGTTATTTATCGTAGAATGCTGTGCCTAATCATGCTGCCGTATAAAGTTGTTCACCATCCTCTTTCTATTGAGTTGTTAGTGAAGAGATGGACCGATAGCGTAGTTCATTCGGTCGCTCTATGTGCTCTGAAAGTACTCCTGTTGATACCCAGCAGAACCTCACGGATGATGGAAGGGTAAATACATGCAATGCACTGCAACATTGCTGTTGAGAATTCCACGAGCTGTGAATGTTGCCTCGGGTAGGTCGCTTCGGGTGACGTCACTCCAGTCCGATCAAGGCGGTCGTCTTCAACAACACTCATCATGCGATCGCCGGAGTCCAGAGATGTATGCTATCTGTTGAGCACGGCACATGCCAAATAGATACTTCTATGGGTCGCCACGCCTAAGCTGGCTAGCTCCTATACTCCCATCCATCAACGCTTGAGGGACGGGCCCCTTTCGGCCGACCGCATCAAGGGGGCTGACGACTTGACCGAACACGTCTGTCAGAAGTCGCAGGAGGCCCCACTTCTTGTGGAGTTCAAGACGGAAGTCGTTAGTACGACGTAGGTGAGTTTCATAGTCAACAAAGATCGCGCAGATCCTATGGCGAAGCGGAGGGCCGCTGAGCAGCTAGTAATGGCACAAGTGAAGAGCTACGCTCAACGGTGCAGAACACGGGCCAAGCTTTACTGTGTTGGAGATCAACACAGTGAGCGATCCGCTTGCTGTTCCTGCATAGTGGCATTGGTTAGGTGCTACCCACAAGAGGAACGGAATCTGGGATACTGCTGAAGGTGTTTGGTAAGGCGTGCTGTAACAAGTCGTGGTCATGAGTCTCAACAGTCACCCGGAGTCTCCATCCGCGTCTACCACTCGTACCTCTGTGGCATCTACTGCGGCATCCTGTTCGACAGAAGACGAGCGGGATGTGGATGATGTCGGGATGGGCGAGCACTGTGTCCCGACTCATAACACAGAGCTAAATTTTGGGTCACTAGTGAGCGAAGAGGTGACCGTATTCCCCACAGTATCTCCGAACTATATCTATTAAAGGCGTGCGCAAACGAGAGTTTCCGGCTGTCTCTCAGGCTCTACTCAGAACAACCGTTCTCCGCTCGAATGCAGTTGACTTCTCATTGAAATTCGCCAAGACTGTAGAAATGCTAGAGAAAAGTTTACGACTGAGGTACCGCTCATTCACTATCCGATCCCATGGCGAGCTCGGCTCAGGAAACCAATCCGTCGCCGATCTGTCTGCGGGGCTACGGATAAGTGGATTTCATCGGACGGTTAGGGACCTCGCGATCGCTTCCTGCTAGCCTCCGATTGGTGTTCAGATATCGATTTACGGCTCAAAGAGGCTCGGCTTTGGTCGGACATCCAATGTGATGGTTCCGATCATGTAGATTAAATTACTCGTTCACTCTTGTATTAAACTCATCCATGGACTTTCCGGATGGTCCACATGATCACTTCCACTGATGTGGCTACGCTTGCGTTTTTCAAGTGTTTTAAGGTCAAAACCACTCAGGTAGCAAAACATGCTAACACATTCTTCTCGTATTTTCGTCAATATTGAACGCTGAATGTGGCTTTTTACGATGCAGATGACTTCGCTTCCTCCCGGCACCATGCATAAAAGGCGCTAAACTATCGAATCAACACAAAACAAGTTGCAATGTGGAAAATGTGAGCACTGTAAAGGCAGTTGTCCATCACGTTTAGGCAACTTGGGCTGAACTCGAGACACTGGACAAGTCAAGCGTACGATACCTAATGCAGCTGATGAAGTTGACGATGACATACTATACACGCCTTACTTTTCTCGATAGTCGGGGTCCTCCTTCAACTTCTTCACATACGCAATAGTAGCAGCCAAGTGGGCCTTCACCGCAAGAATACCCGATACCGACGATGCTGATGAAGTGTTGTTCATCGAATCTAAATGCGGCACAAAGGTTGGGACAGTCTAATTGACCGTCAACCTACTGTCGAGGAGGGGGTTTTTGGCTCCGGAAGCGGTACTGTTAGGATTAGCAGATTCAAGCGCGAATTTCACGTGCTCCTCGCAAAGGGCGATCAAACTGCTAATGTGCGATGGTAGAACCTGCCATACAGACAGAGTGTTGTCACTCGCCACGAAAATAACTCAATAACCTGATCGTTGCCCTTGTTGAAGTAGAAAACATAGCGGTCGAGAACGTCAACGAACAGCGACACCGCCGTAGTCTCCGAGATATCCATTTTATCAACATCGTTCCGACTCGAGTCGTTGCCGAGTCCACCTGAGCGAGTAGTGCGAACGCTGTCAAAAGCTCAACAATAACTACTTTCCAGAATCCTCTCAGCAATCTTTAAGCATCGCTGTAGACACTCGAGGACTCGTCGAGGGTCCCATCGATCTCGAGGGAGAACCTGCAGACTTATTGCGTCGTGATGGCTGGATCTAGAATCCTACAGGATTCCAAAACATATCCGCACAGCAAAGAATTTGTCTGCACTGCTCAGATTGCTGTAGGAGCTTCGCCGCGTGTTGTGTTATCTGAGTAAAGCCTTGCCGCGACCTGTCTTGAAGGCATAACCAATTCTACCGTAGTCGAGGTCATTTCGTAGTCCTCAGGAGTGAGGGCCTGCCCAGCTGGTCCGAGGAGAGCTCCAACGAAAAGTGGTATGCATGCCTGGGAAAAAAGCGTTCGCTGTACTTCCCGACTACATAATTATAACTACACTCTGTTTTGGGGACTCAGTGATGTCGTCCTCATAAGTAGCCAAAGCACGGTTAATGAACTCACAGCAAATGGACTCGAACGCCCCCTCACCGTAGAGATTCACTTCGACATAACCAGCAACCTAACACAAACACCATCCTCTCTGCCTTGAGCATCATACTAAACACATTGTCGACTACATGTGACTACAGGATGGCCCAAATAAAATGTGTTATTGTCTGTAACTTCAGCAGAATTCAACGAATTTTCCAGTGAGAGGTAGCTCCTTAGAAAGATGTCGATGAGCGCTTTTCAATGGTATCTTTGAATTCCAGATGAATTATGCAAGTTACAGACAACAGCACATTTTATTCGAGCACCCTGCATAGGAAATTTTCGTTGGTTTCTGAACACTTCTACCCAAATTCGTGTATAAACTCCCATAGTTAGTGAAGAACTCAGCGAAGGAGGGCGAATATATATTCCAACACTGCTTACCGCTGCCGCATCTAACCACATCTTCACAGTCTGCATAGCCGCTGTAGGGCCTCCACCCAGTAGACAATGAGAACCATATGCGTCCAAAGTCTTATAAATCTGCATCATAATGCTAGCGGAGCGATGCAGGAAACATCGGAAGACTACGAATTGGAAAGCCTTCTTAGTGCTGTTGAAGAGCCTTGTGTGCTGCAGTTCGAGGGTCCTCACCTTCGGTGCTAACTTCATCGCGCGGTATACTACGGGTACTAGCGTAACCGTCTGAATGGATCCAACTGCATTCGGCCCAGGTGTCCCCTAGTACTACCAATTTAGCTGGACTGCCATGCCCCAAGTGTTGCCGCATAACACTGAGGAGCTGCAACTCGAGATCAGTATTAGCGTCGCTCTCTCTAATGAGATGACATATCTTCGCCAAGTTGCACTGGTCGCTGGCAGCCTCTGTAGCATCCGAGGCTGGACAAAGGACACAAACGTCAAATTCAAACAAGTGGTGAAAGAATCCAA